CAGCCACTGTGACTTATTCAACAAACATTGGCTAAAAGTGATATGTGAAGCCAGACTTTTTTTTCTCTCTTTCTCTCTCTCCCCCACCCCACCCCACCCCACCGATGAAGATGGAGAGATCCCTGCAGTGTTAATACTGCAAAGGAATCACACTGTACCTGGGCAGCTATCTTCCCTTTTTAATTCTGTCACACCTGCTGAATCTTAGCATTAGGTCTTGGGTCTGAGGATAAGCCCTAGTGGTTTAAATGAAAACCAGCTGTGATTTCAAATCCCTTAAACTGCGGACACTGTATTGAATTAGGCCATTGTTTATATTTGAGTAGCAAGGTTATTCAAGGTGGGGTGAAAGTTTTATCCATAAACATTTTTCCCTTTCCTTATACTTGATTCATAACATTATGTGACAAAGTGCAATTATGTGTACTTTAGATATCCAAGTTTCAGGAGAGAGAGAGAGAGGGACGTGGCAAAGGAAGGAAGGATATATGACTGTGTAGGGATGAAAAGAAGCATTAGCATTTAGCAAATGAAATAAAAGGGAAACATTGTACTGTAATATTAAGGCAAGTTTTCTGTGCTTTTTCAGACTTACTTAGGATAATCCAAATTCCCTGAAAAGCAAGATGGCCAAGAGATGCTTTTTGTGACGCTGAGAAGAATGTGTAAAGTTGGAGGGTTTTCAAAAGAAAACTTGGCTAAGTACTATTTGGGTCTCTGAGGCACAGCAAATAAGGTAATATGGACAATGCAGTGGCTATTATTTAATCTTAATTGCTATTCTTAAATGTTTAAGTTGTTTTATATGGGTGTCTGTATGTGTGATTTTGAGCTATCTTTCTCCTCTCTTTTATCTTTAAGGGTATAGATATATAGTCCTTTGGATATAGGACTCATGCAGTCTACTATCGCAGAAGCTACATAGCCCCAAGGAAACTGTGTGTGTATGTGTGATGAGATCTATGCACCATGAATCAGCAACATGTTTGCATGTCTGAGATTGGTGATTCAAAGCATTTCCTTAGGATTCCGGCCCTTTCCTCTTAATCATAGCTAGACTTGGGAGAATTAAAGACGATGAACTTGTTCATATTTAGTTCATAAGGGAATAGGGCTGCTATGATTGACTTAATGATTATCTCACAAGATTGTTGTCACTTTTACTGATCCAGGCAATCATTTGGCAGATGTGGCTTTCTCCAGTCTGAAGATGTTGCTAAATATCAGCCAGCAGTTGTTAAAGTCACAGGAACCCCAGTGTGTTTTGGAGTAACTAGTTCATACATCATACTATGAACACTTCAATGCAAATACTTTATTGTACTGTTTTGATTTCCCCATCCATTCTAATTCGTTTGAAGGTGATCTGCAATTGTCTTCACTTCTGTCTAGCTTGAAACACTGAGAACAACTCTATTGAGACAGAAGGGGAGGTGGTGGATGAAAGGGAGCTGGGAGGTAGTGTAAGGTGAGTTTCTGTTAGTGAGGGAGTAGACTGCTGATAAATGCTGCCATGCTCCAAGCAAAAAATCAGTTGAGCTATCAGTATATAGATTTGGCTCTGGATGCCGCAAATATCATGAGATTGGATAAGTTGGGACCTTATTATGAACTAATGCAAAGATCTCACATGGAAGTGCCTAAGCCACAATGTGGTTTGAGCTTAGTATATTGTGAGCTCCCAGCCATTGTAGCTGACTAAACAAATCATAGCAAGATAGAATATGTCTTAATATGTGATAGTTCAGACTATGTTTCTGTGCTTAGCCACATTGTTGTAATAATGATTTGTTGAACAAGCCATAATGATCTGGTTTACAATAAAGCATGATGGGGGAGTTCGTTCATTATAGTAAGCCAAAATCAAACCACATTTTGGCTTAGTGAGTTCCATAAACCATTCTGGATCTGAGGGATAGATAGAGGAAAGGTATCATTTGATAGGGACCTAGCAATTTCTATCTCTCTCTCTTTGGCCTCTGTTTTACCATGCATTGCCTTACTGATGAGGACCACTGTCCCACTTCTTCCTGCTATGGGAGATAGAGCAAGGGATAAACTTTTGATTTTAATCTATGAATATATGACACTTCTTTATGCTGTATCATATAATTGATTTGTCTAGCCTAGTCCATTTTCTGTGATTGGTGGTTGCTCTCAAGTAATTCTGCTACTCAGAACTGATTGAAGTTGGTTGATCCCAAGAATTCAAAGCTATGGACTCTCCCCAGAGATGGAGCATCCCAGTGACTTTGGACACAGGACAAGATGGTATGTATATTTTGCGTTTATCCTTTTAGCTGTCTTTCACTTTTTGTTTGTGTGACGTGAACAAAGTAGATCATATTATCTCATCTTCACTTTGCTGCTTCTCAAAAAAATCTGGCTTTAGTAAGATAGTTTGATTGAACAGGACTGTCCTAGAAATATATACTGCTATAGAATTAAACTTGATATGAACCATTTTCTTTTCCCAACCTGAGGTCCTCTAGATGTGTTAAACTAAAGGGTTCCTATAAACCCATCAGTAAGAGTGGTAGCCAATTTGGAAAGCTGTTATGGAACTCAAACTCTGGAAGAAGCATTCGATACTGCTTCTTCTGTTCATTTAAATGTGGCTTAAGATCTCTCTACTAGTTGCTGGTAATTTGATATTTTTGCTATCCTTCCTTATTCTGACTGGAATTTTTAGGCTGGAAATTTTCTGAAGATTAGTGATGTCTTCTGCACTACTAAACGTTACTCTGGGAATTGCGATATGAATTCTCACACTGTGCTAAGCCAAAATGTGGTTTATTGGGTTTGGGGTATTGTGTGAAGCTAGCCAATTGTGCCTTATTCAGAAAGTTGTTAAACTAATTTACCTTGATTTACTATCTTCATAGTAATTTGTCGTGAGTTCTCAGTAACTTGTCAAATTCCAGTTGCCTGGAATTTAAGGTGAAAACATGGCAGTTAGAGTTTAGACCTCAGAATCAGATAATGGCCATTGTTTTGCCTGTTGTGTAATGTGCCCATGTCTACTGGCCATCACTGAAATTACTAAGAGTGGTTTTGGTAGAAAAGCAAGCATTTGGATCTGGGTCTTTGAAGACTTTGGATATGCTAATATTCTGCTTGAATATTCAGTGCTTTGGAGAAGGCTGTGGAAAATCCTTGAAAAGGGAATAGAAGAACAGCAGGAAGTCTTGCTCAGGCAAAGCACTGCTTATCCTGCTGCTTTGGAAGGTCTGAGCAGATTTGCTCTGATTTGAGGGTCTGACTGTATGAGTTCCTAATAATTTTGTCCCCCAGGGTAAAGGGTAACATTTTTTTGGAGTGGAGATAATAACTGTAGTTTGCTTAATAATAGGGACATTGGTTTATAATGGGGGGGGGGGCAGGGGGAGCCTATGGCTCCCAAATTGTTCTCATTATTGATTGGATAGCTAGGGCTTGTAGTTTAGCAATATTTGAAGGGCCCACTTTGCCTACATCTGTTTTGAATAATTAATATAGTGTTGTTAGCTTATTGAAGTCTTTGTTTACATTATTGAATAATTGGATTTTTCTTCTGTGGGGAGCTTTTAGATTATACAAAGTCTCTTAAATGCCTTCCCATTCTGTCTGGTTTGGCCAAACATACAGTAGATGGTCACTAACAGTTGAATTCTGGGAGACTTCTGGGAGTTGAAGTCCATACCTCTTAAAGTTGCCAAGGCTGAGAAACACTGCTTCAGGTGATCAAATGCAACAGGAGACAGAGCTCCTGCATCTTGTAAGAGTTGTGTTGAAAAGATAAATCTAGTAAGCTAGGACTACTTTCATATCAACAGGCATGTGCTTCACTAAGCAGTTTAAACCAAAAGATTTGCTGATGCTGCAAGGGACTTGCGATTAAAATTTTGATAATGAGGAAGGGTACAGTGTAAGAGAGTAGTAGTAGTGATAAATCTGAACAAATACAGTTTTCTGCTTTGCCTTGGGGTTGGGAGATTTTTTTTTCCTCTGTAAAGGCTACTGTAAAGTCATTCAGGGCTCAGTCAATCAGAGCCAGTTCTGAAAACACACTGTAGAATTATAGCGTTGCCAGAGTACATGACCATTTTCTTTCTGCATGCCACTCCATGCCTTTTGCTCCTTATGTCATTATATTATGTGCTAAACTATAATGTGATTTGTTTGAATTTGGCATAGCAAGTTGTATACATACCACCATTGTGGTTTGTCCAGCAAGCCATGCCTTGGTGCAGAGACAGAGAGTCAGTAAGAGTGGATTTGGAGACTTAGATGATACTGAGAGTTTCACAAATTAGACTGAGGGCTGAAAATTGCATGAATCACTTGAGCCAGAGAGCTGCATTCTAGATTAGATCATGTTTAAGATGGGAATAAGAACTAAGGAATTAAGCTAAAGGTTTCACCATGAAGATGGGTTTTGAGATGGATTAAAAATATGAAAAAGTAGTGACAAATTTTAGATGTCTGGTAATTATAATAGATGTCTTCAGTTAAGCTGCCCTACTCTCTAGCTTGTATAGACATCTGAAGTACACTACAACGTGGAAGATTGTTTTTATGTCTCCGTCATCCTTGCTGGTACTGTTTGTTATTTGTAGCTAATTGTTTTCTCTCTTAGGCAGGAGTATATAACTTACAGCATGTGCTAGATGTGGCCCCTGAGTTCTCTCTCTGCAGGCCTTGGAGCTACTTCTGACTTTAGTAGTTTCTTGTCATTTTGAGATGGGAAGCACAAGAAAATTGTTAAGTAGGGCTGTGCAGAGATTTGTATTTGAAAGGCAAATTATGATTTGGAGCATTCGTAGGTAGGTAGCACCTGCTGGGAATACTTTAAAGCAGCTACATCTTTTCCTGGGCTTGTGCATGATCCCCACTACTTTGTGCATCCTAAAATAAAAATATTATAGTTTAAAAAAAAAATCCCCAAGACTCCCCTCTCAAATTTAATTCCATCTACATGCATGATGTAGCTCATCATTTTGTGGTCTTCAGTCTCCAATAAAGAATAGCCCTAGGCTGTTTCCATGTTCTGTGCAGGAGTTAGAATTCCCACTTTAGCCTTCAGTATGCACTACAATGATGTGAAAAATCCATTCTGACTGTTGGTACAGCAAATTGTTTAAAAGCATTTGAGGAAATTAATGTCCTTAATTTCAGTAATACTGAATATGTGCTCATAGGGCCGGAGGATATTATCAGCCAGGTCCAAAGCCTTTCTGAAGAAGAAGAAGAAGAAGAGGCTTTGTGGGAGAAGATTGAGAGTGTGAGACACCAACTAACTCGCTCTTTGAATCCAGAAAAGCTGACACCATACTTACGCCAATGTCGTGTGATAGATGAGCAGGATGAAGAGGAGGTGCTGAGTGCCTATCGGTTCCCATGTAGGAGCAACCGGACAGGTGAGAGACATTTGGAATTTGTATGGAGGAGAGATCAAAGAAGAGGGAGTGCCTCTTGCTTTCTTTAAAGTACAATATAGAGGGTTGGCTCTTGAATGAAAGGAAGGAGCTGCTCAAGGGGTCCCAGTTATGGCTCTGTGGTGCATTAAAAAAAAGGCTATGCTGCAACAGATCAAAGTTCCACGTAGCCCAGCATTTTCTTCACCCTAAGGCTTTGCTGAACTGAAATCTGACTTGTGTTCTCAAAGTTTTCTTGCCCAACAAAAAACAAAACAAAAGCTGCCCTCTACATTTCTAATTTCTTTTGAATTTCCATTAGTGATGTTTTTCAGCTGCCTTTGTTGTTGATGGTGATGGAACATGGTAATGGTTTAGTATAGTATAGTAAACTTTATTGATTAGTCAATTGACCATATCAAGAGCATGCTCATGCTAGTGTCTATTACACAACTTCCCATCAGTATGAATCCTCTTTGGCTGCTACACTACCTCTCAACAGTGTGGCACTAGATACCTCAGTGGTCAACTAGATGCCTTTGGGAAGCCCACCATATGTTCTGAGCAACCCATTCTCAGGTTTTCCAGGAAGTCTCTAGGTAAATAAGGTAGGATATAAATCAAACAAATATAATAATGATAATAATGCTTCTTGATTACAATGGCTGTAGGTGCGCCCCTGGAAAACCTGAAGGGCCAGGTAGGGTACAGATCATTTTGAGGAAAGTCTGCCTAAGTGGTTACTTAGAGAGGCATGGCTGCCTCTTCAGTATATTTACTGCGATAATGATAACAGACTCTTCTCATGTTAAGTATGGATCAGCTTTTATAAGTGGCTGCACTCTTTCATTCATAATAGGCAAATATCTATCCAAGTGTTTTTTCTCCATTTGTTCAACTTTTGAAACACATTTTAGAATTTTAAAGTAGCTCATTTTGTGACTTGATGCATTATGAACATGCATGATTTTCCTTGTCACAATATATTTACATATATTGCTGAATCTGATGCTTACAGTTTTCTGAATTGTCATTGATGTAACAGAAAATTGTCTCATTTTTATAAGCATCACCACTAGGATTATTACCCTTCTGAAAACATTTTGAAGTGGGAAGTTATATCTTACCAATATCTACTAATTCAAGTACTGATAGGTTGTATTGTGTTCATATATACACACTCTACATATATTAATCAGTATGGGTGTATAGAATTAATATACTATGAATATTTAATACACTGTGTATTGTGTATCTGCACTGAGTTATCTATACTTTATCTGTTAATAAGTAGGTAATAAACGCTGAAACAATCTCTCTTCTAAATCAGAGTCCTCGGTTTGGTCAATAAATGGTAATTGTAAATAAAATACCTCTTCTAAATCTGAGAACTTCTACATGTTATAAGGAGCAAATATTGCAAAATAAAAGGTACAGTAATGGTAAAGATGGTCTTGAGCCAACTCCAGCTGCTGAGGAGTACATGGGTACAACCGTGCAGTTTTCTTTGGCCGTGCTCTTTTGTCCTAAATCAGAAAAGCCTCTGGTTTAGAATAATAAAGAGTTCTTCAGAATAAAATTTCTCCTCTAAACCAGTAAACGCCTGAACTGGAGTCATAAATGGTACTTCAGACTTCCTCTCAATCTGAAAAGCCCTTCCCTAGACTGGCATAATAATCCCTCAATGTCCTTATCCTTAGAAGTAAACCCATCACCAAAACCTTGGATTGTACCATGCTTTCTTGGGGGCCCTGTGGCTAGCTTGCTTCTCAATAATGCTGGCCATGCTCATCTTTTATGCTAGGGGTGGGCAACCTTTTTGTGACCAAAAGTTGCAGTTAACATTGCGGGGGAATGGAGGGCTGTAAAGTGGGTGAAGCCACACAATACATGAGGGTTAGAACAGGATTTGATGGCAGGGAATTTGGGAGTGTCTTCGTGATATGACTATTTTAGTGTTGACACTATATATATATTTTTTTCTGTACCCCACCTCAAAGTGGCAGGAAAGTGCTGTCAGTTTTCCATAGTCATGCTTCAAGGTCCCCCAAATGGGGAATCAAAAACTACAGGAGGACCAAAGGCTGGAGGCTGCCTACCCTGGCTTTGCATCTGGAAGCAGGACTAGGACATCTGGCGCGAGTGCTCCTGTCATAGGAGACAGAGACATCAATTTTGCTATGCAAGTCCTCCCACCACTAGTCAGCCAGACTCAAGGAACTTAATTTAAAAAGTAGCATTATCACAGAGATGTTATTTTAAGGAAAACAAGCCAGAACAAACCCAGTCCCCATCAAATATAAACATAATGCAAGCCATGCGGGTAGATTATGTTGCTTTACAAGTGAAAATTGTTTGCCCTCTTTTTTTGTAAACTGCTTAATTAATTGTTGAAGACCTAGACCGAACGTGTACTGCTCAGGCCCAATAATTTAGGCAGTTGCTTGTGCTACTTGCCCCCACACCAGCCTCATCTTCCTTGTAATCATCTTCCTTGGTAGGTTGTACCATCTGGTCATTTTATTCTGATGGTAGCCTGTGGCCCTGATATTAAACTGTGGTGTTTCTCATCCCTGACTTTACTGATGGTTGCTGGAGGCAGTTGGAGCTTATGGTCATGTTATTTTGATTATTATTTTAGGGAATAGATTATGGTTTCTTTTTTCCTTGACCTTACATAAGACCTAAGGAATGTCCTTAAATCCTACTCAGGAAGACTTCACTCTCACATCCAGTGACCTTTAAAAGAC